TATATATATATATATATATATGAGTTTTTTTTATAGAATAAATTTAAGAAAAAACCCCGTAAGTTTGAGCTTTTGATTTTTACTTTAACTCCCAAATATTTTGAAACTCTCACTAAATCTCAAATAGTTTAATTATATATATATATATATATATGAGTTTTTTTTATAGAATAAATTTAAGAAAAAACCCCGTAAGTTTGAGCTTTTGATTTTTACTTTAACTCCCAAATATTTTGAAACTCTCACTAAATCTCAAATAGTTTAATTTGGAAACAGCGTAAACATTCAGAGTGTTTTGATTTTTTTTTTTTCAATTTACATAATGACCTTCTTATGATATTCATGTGATATTTTTGTTTGGGAACTCAAATATAGACTTAAGCGATTATAGGTGTTAAATAGAAATAATCAAAATGTATATTCTTGTTTGGGAAATCGAATATAGACTTGCGTAATTATAGGGGTTAAATGGAAAAATCAAAATGTTCTGGTGTTTTTCTGAAATTTCCGAACTTATTTGGAACTTAGAGAGAGTTACAAACTTTTGGAAGACCAAGTGCTACGGTCGCAAAATATTGGGGGTTAAGTGAAATTTACCCTAACTTTATGGACGAACTGTTGGGTTCGATTAATCCACGAACCCATGAGGCACAACCTACTCGATTTTGGATTTGATTTAAAGTTATCATCGATTCAAGTTAGAATCAGGATGCTAACCACATGGTCTAGTTAGACAGTTTCATATTTATTAAGTTGGGTGGTTATCTTGAATATCTAAAGGATAGAATCGATCGGAGTGTAATCACATGGTTATGATTAAATCATGATGTGTAGGGTTAATCACAAATATCTATTTAAAGGGTGGGAGTTCCTCCTCTCAACCGTACACAAAAAAAACTAAATTCCCATCGTTGGCTATGGGAGGAGAGAGGAGAAGACTTCCATTATTTTCTACGATAAACGGTAACTTTAATCTGAATTTCTAGTTTAACTTTTCATGTCTAGATCGTTAAATAATCCAACACGAGCAGATGTCTGATCTGGTCTGACCTAAATCCAAGCATCTTTTAATCTAGGGTTAGGTTCCTTCGTTTCGCCATATGTATGCATGTGTAAAGGGTTCCCAGAGAGATCCTCATCATACTATTTTTGGAATATTTTTACTCCGCCTATAGAGGTAGAGAAGATCAAACTGGTATTTTGGGAATAGTTTTCTTCATTAATCAAGAAAAGTTATACCATCGATCCTAGTCCAACATCTCAAGGCTCTGTCTTTAGATCCAACTTTGATAGATTTCAATATTGGTTTGTAGATTAAATTGGTCTCAACATTCCTTGAGATATCTTCCGGCTTTACATTAGACTTTACTTTTTTTGTGGCCCAATACAATTTTACCTGTGATACTACTTATTGGGATTTACTCCTTGGAAGCTAACTAATAGAGTAAGTAGAGAACAAGTATATTATGGGAAGAATCTTTTTTTTTTAATTAAACTTACACTTTCAACCCTAACCCATTATTTCAGGGTTCCTTCCTTAGATATAACTCTTAATGTTTTAATCTTGGTCTACAATAATAGAAGATTTCCGTAGAGAATTATACTAAGTAACTCTATTTATCATACCACTTCCCACATTCCACGGATCTATTTCTCGTACACTCATACTACTTCCCACATTCCACGGATCTATAGATATTATGACAAAACCTGTTAGTCTAAGTGTAGACCCAAAGCTGAAACCGAAGCTGGAATCAAGAAGATGAAGCAAAACGAAGGAAACAGGAAAACTACAGTGTGGTCGACCGTGGTGCTCCAACTGTGACGCCACTGGGTTCACACAAGGCTGCAGTCCAAGGTGAAACCAGAGATGTCAAACCTGTCATGCACCCACACTGTGCATAAACATGTTTCACCAATCACAGTAATAACCTCTAGTATAACCAAATAGAAGTGCAGGTACAAACAGGCAAAATAAAGGGAATAAATGTAATAGACATGATATAGAAGAGATATCTCATAAATGAAAAGAATCATGTCTCAACTATAATACATCTGATATCAGAATAATGAAAATGTCTCAACATGAATCAACTAAGAATCGTACTAAGGCACACTGCCTTTATAATATGAATATGAAACTCTAATGTCTGGATAAAACTCAAAACTACAGTGGAGTCTCTACAAGTAAAAAATACGCGACAGCGACTATGCCAGAACTCCGTCACCCTACGGCTCTCCGGAACTCCGAGCTACCTGAAAGGGTATTTTTAAAAGAAAAAGAAACAATAACAAGAGCGTCAGAACACTATAGCAAGATTACCCCCATCCGCCCCCAGGGAAAGGGCTACTAGATGGAGTGAAGGCTCTATCTATTAAGCATAGTCTACCTATATTTATTTTCCCCGTATCTAAGTAGGATTAACATTTAGAAACATACAACACGAGACGTAGTACGTCGAGCGAAATAATCCAAACAAGGAAACCCTCATGTATATACCATAAGTCTCAAATTGTAGATATCTAAACATTAATACCGAACTAAGAAAAAATAATCTAATGAAACCAATAGTTAGAAATTCAT